AATGAATAAATATAAATGGGTATTGATGGTAATTCATGTTGGTTCTTTCTATTTGTAGAATAAGAAATACAAAATTAGTGTGTACTGAAGCAAATATTTGCTCTCTCACTTCTGATACTTACTTTTAGTTTCCTCTTGGTCAAATCAAGCTTTTTGAGGCAAAGGTTGAAGAAGTCGATAGATCGTGCGATTCTGATGAAGATTATGAGGCTAGCGGTCGCAGTTTATTATCAACGCATTACACTGTTGTTATCCATCCCAGAGATCAAGGACCCACTTATCTTCTTATAGGATCCAAACATGAGAAGGTAATTAAAGGACTTTTTTATTGAGTTTCAGTAACACATCTATGAGTATGATGCTGTGGTGTGAATATTTCTTAAAAAGGAGGAGGAGGGGGACATACGAGTCATCTGGCTTGTAGTTTGGTATAATAAGCAAGGAGGAGGTCTTGCTTCATTAACATCGATCAGAATTTGTCTGTGAACCAATGCTATCATAGGTAATCCTTTTAAAAATAGATCAAAATAAGCAGGCTTGCCTACATAAGCAGATGGTGCAGAATATCAAATATGCTGTAATTGGAGAATTTTGCTACATTGCGCTAACTAGGAGACAGACCTGTAGCCAACCTTCCTGAGAGGTTTTGGGATACCGTTACCCATTTTCCCTGATAACACTAACAGTAAGGAAGATGACCCTACTGAAGGGAAGGAGAAATGAGAGGTACGGTTAAAACTGTTATTATTGCTTCATTTTTCTCATGTAATCTTGTAGACCTCCTTTTGCTTTCTGGCCTTATCCCCAGGTTAGCAGGATCTGGCTGTGATATAAAGGCACTTACCTTAGCTTTCTGAAGAGGAAAGGAAGAACGCCCTGATAATTGGCCATAATTTCTGAGGGTAAAAGACTTCTGAAGAGAGTTCTGTGCAGTCTTTCTTGTTTAATATTTGTAACAAAGAGACCGTGAATACAGATATATTAAAACAAAGGCAAACTCCTTTGGACTTCAACAGGAGCCATGGCAGTGTGTGAAGTTGAGAGCAAAAGGTTAACAAAGCAGCTCCTTCCAACAGAGAATGAGTGAGCTGCTGTGTGTTTTTCTACTTTAGGACACGTGGCTTTATCATCTGACAGTTGCAGCTGGAAGTACCAATGTAAATGTTGGATCTGAGTTTGAACAACTTATTTGCAAATTATTAAATATGGAAGGTGATACCAGTAAGTTTGTCTTTGTTTCAACATACTAATCTCCTAATACTTACTTACTGAATGTACTTGTGAAGTGAATTAATTGCAAGACCTAACATATTTCATCTGTTTAGCTTCTCAGATTTGGAGACATCCTACTCTTTGCCACAGCAAAGAAGGAATCGCTTCCCCTCTTACAACATTGCCATCAGAAGCCTTGCAAACTGAAGCAATTAAATTATTTAAGGTAAAGCCATAGCAGATGCCTTTTTTATTAACTGACTATTTTAACTCTTAGCCAAAGAATGGCTATTAGTTGGCTTACTAGAGATGTTCAACAGAAAAAGGAAAAGGAAAGAGAAGTTTACTCTTAACCTTTAGTGGATGTAACTAATGGACAGTAGCAGAATGGCCCCGTATTATCTCACCAAAGAGTATCACTACCAATTTAAAGAGATCACTTCTAGCTGTGAGGGAGCAGTTTAGGCTTGAACTTTTGGCATTTCTACTAAGGTTATTGATAAAGTGCAAGAAAAATCTACAGCCATCAGGGATGATAATTTTATCATGAAGTCCATAAGCCCCAGAGAACCTAACAGAGTAAATCTCTGTATTCAGAGAACTGTATCTGAAATACTATTTTTTCAGTTAGATTTCAGAAAGAACAAGTTGTAGGTGAAAGGTTTGTTGTAGATATATTTAAATCAGCTAGAAGACATTTTAAAAATATGAAGAAAAAGGAAGCAAAACTTCTAGTTCAAACAAGTCATGGATTATTTCAAATGGAGATAGAAAACAGATTCTACTGCCCTTGTTAATAAAAAAAAATATTTTCTTCATATGAAGTAGCTATTCTTAAAAGACTGGTAAGGTATTCTAGTAATATAAAGAGAGAAAATATTACAGAGTAAAATTATTGAAAATATTTCAAAAGTTTTGTGAATCCACCTCTAAAGATTCTCATACACCATTAAAAATACACATATGTATATCTCCAAGTATTAGTGAAAAGGCTTTATGATTAAGAGAAACATAATGGTTCACAACTGCTGTGCTGCAGCCAGTTTCTTGAGAATTTTTGTATGTCAGTAAGACCTTATAGGTGGTTGATATCTATGAGAGGGAGTATGCTGCAGTGCCACTAACCTTCTCTCTCCTTCCCTCACCCAGGCAAAGCTACTCCTGAATGTTAACTAACAGCCAGTCTATTTCAGAGACAAAATAAAATCTTGCTGTTCCTTTTTCTGTATGTTGCGAAATAAATTACAAGTTGAAAGGCATGGCACTTGGCTAAATGAACTTTCTCCACAGAACTTAATACAAGTCTAAAGACTAAAATCACTGAAGCATCAACTATCTGGAGAATTTTGATGTGATAGTTCAGATCTAGAAAGAAATTCAAGACAAGCACCACATGTTCCATCACAGCCACTTGTAGGCAAACTTCCCAGCTTGTTTGTCTGAAATAGTTGAAGCACTTAAAATAGTACATTCATCTTATTTTCTGCAATCCTGCAGCATGAAAATTTAAAAGGGAATGCACTACTCTGATAAAAATAAATCTATATTTATTTGCAAAGCACTTTCTGAAATATATTTCAGACCGAATTCAAATCGCAGACACTTGCCTAAAATAAATAAATAAGAGATGACTTGTATGACCTTTATTGAAACTCTGTATAAATCAGTTTAAAAGTTGGGTAGAGAACTGATTTTAAAATGGCAAGTCATGTTTCAGTTATTCCATTGCTGATAAAAATGAGTCCTGTGCATCCACATATTTTCAGATAGACTAGAAATAGATTGGGCTTCCATCCATTTCTTGTGTTTTGCTTCTATACTTTGAAAATTCATCAACTATTATATAGAGTAAACGCAATGAGGGATACGTAAGCTTTCTTCTAATGAAGCACAACAAACACTTAAACACCTGGCTTTCCTAAGACAATACTGGGGATAGGAAAGATTATACTTACCCACAGTAAAATTACCAGTGAAAGCTAAGACATAAAACAAACAGCTCTGAGTTATGGTTTTCTTATCTGTGTATATTCTGCTGTGTTGTGCTCACTACTTGCACAAGCATGTCACTCTGGCTGCCACTGAGCACTGTACACTTTGCAATTTAAAGTCCTGTAGAGGTGTAAGCTATGTTCAGCATGTCCTTAAACTTGCCTCCCACCACAACTGTTAGAACTCCTGCTACAAGTTCACTCCATTAGATACGGAGTGAAAAGCATGGGTTTTAAGAAGCATTTTTACCTTAAGACTCTGTATAGCTTTTCATCTATTCTGGCCTCTTTTCATCGCTTTTTGCAGGGCCAGCAGGGTTCCCGTAGTCTACTGGTAAACTGACTAATTGCAACTTCAATTATAGCACACTTTCGTTATACAGAACATCTAAAAGATTTGTTGGAGCTTTTTGTATGTAAACTCACTTGCTTATTATTTTATATCTAGACCTGCCAGTTGTTTATAAATGCTGCAGTTGACTCTCCTGCCATTGATTACCATGTATCTTTGGCCCAAAGTGCTTTGCAGATCTGCCTCACACATCCTGAACTTCAAAATGAGATCTGTTGTCAGCTTATTAAACAGACTAGACGTCGACATCCACAAAACCAGGCAGGACCAATACAGGTAAGCCAGTACTTATTTTAATGGTATCTATTTCAACAGCAGTGAAGGAACTACACAGACTGTTTAGAATGGTAAAGGGGCTCCACTCTTCTGTAGCATCTGCTTTCTTAAAATCAGATAAAAACTGAACTAACATCTTATTACTGCTGTGTCTTCCTGAAATGAAGCTGATGCTATCCTCCATCAAAGTACGCATATCTGGTGGTAGAGTATACCTGTGCCTGTGCTGTTTTTAAAGGCTGGACATACACAATGGGCTGTCTTCAAGTTAAGTGTTGAGTGAGACCATGTATGGAACCCAATTCTCTTTTACTGCATCGTTCCTAAGGGAGGTGCTGCATCAGGAAGCTTGGTGGGCTAAACTACATGGCAGATGTCTCTATAGCATGAGGGTGAAGAAAAGCTGTAGTGCCATGTTGTGGAATCTCAGATACTCTCAGGGTTTCTGACAGATGTCACCTCTGGTATGTCATGCTGTTCTGCACGAACCCTGCATGCCAGATGATAAATACAAACGTAAAATTCTTTACTTTGTTCACTGCCCACTATTCACTGGTCTCCAAACACATAACAATTAAATGAACTGCTATTGAAAGGAAAGCCAATACTTACAGTTTGTGTGGAATTAATAGAACTGGAACAATAGTGCCTATGGTGGAGCAATACCTACAGATCTAGGAGATGGATCAGAAAATGAGAAAGGAAATTACCATATTCAGGCTTTTGTAACAGATAGGTTTTTCTCTTGCCATAGAAAGTAGAACAAGACCAGCAGACATACCTTTTATCTAGAAACAGCCCATATCTGGGATATGGCCAGTATCTGTGCATCGCTAAAACATCCACAAAGCTTTTATAACAGACATAGCACATACATGTCAATTAGCACACACTGAAGTTATATGCCTGATGGAATTTAACCGTAATACTTCTTTGGTAGTTTTGTTCCATAGGCAAGGCGTTCCCTCTGATACAGATAAATAAACGGATGCAATCATAATCCACTGCCATGATTTTTAAGAGTTAACATGTTCAGTAAAATATTTGCAGCCTCACAGTAATTTAAGTCCTAACTTCATGGTGTAGTCTCCCACACTCGCTTCTACTACAGTGTCTTCTTGCAACAGAGCCCATGCTATCCTCCATCAAAATACAGGTATTTGAGGAAAGGCAATATCTGTGCCCGTGCTGTCAAATTTCTGTTTAATACTGGGTAAGTCAGATAAATCAAGATAGAGAAACCCTATTTTCTAAATGCATCAATACAACTGTGAGAAAAGTAGTTGCAACTTTAGTAAGTGTATATCCAGAGTACATGAGAGCAAATCTCTATTAAGTGAAGCCTATCGATACATACTGAGCAATGAAAATATACCAAAATATTGAATAATTGTTTTTTCAATAGTTACTATCTACTTGCTAGGAGGAAAAGGTCTTATGGGTTGCTTCATAATATAACTAACAGGAGAACTGAATTAAAATTGCACAGGCTTCTCCTCATTTCTTAGTGCTTGGCCTTGCAGCCTTAGTGTTTTTTTTCCTGTGTATTAACTGCTTTTTATACAAATTGATCTGCTTTCCCATTTCCAGCCCCAGAAGAAACTTACTGTACACAAGTAAACAGAGAGCCTTTTGGCCTTCCAGTGAGGTGACACACTTACCTACTCAGCTGCTTCTCTGTGTTTTGGTTTTTTATCCCTATTTAGAGCTGTCTGTTACTCAACTTGGCAAAGTAAATTGCACTGCTGGCCAGCAGCCACAGCAGGAAGCTTTACTTTGTAAGATGTTTAAAACAGTGAATGTCTTCCTTTTGTCCAGGGTTTGCAGCTCTTGGCTCTCTGCGTTGGACTCTTTCTGCCCCAGCATCCATTCCTTTGGCTTCTTAAACTTCATTTAAAGAAGAACGCAGATTCCAGGTGTGCCTGAATATTATTGTTACCCAGCTAGTCGATTAGTCTTTCTGAAGTACCTTATTTTCAATCTTTCATTTAATATTTCAGATCTTTTGATATATATTTTAAAATAAAATTGAGCAGAATTGTGCTTCGGTACCACTGAAATGTAGTACATGTTACTTCCATGCATCACTTGGGAAAGTTATCCTTTGTTTTGAAAAAATACTCCGCAGTGGAACTCAGACTGTATGTTGCAAAACCATGAAAACCAAAATATGGCAGTTACGCAAAACACTCTCAGGCATGTTCATCTTTGGCACAATTCTATTGGTCTTGATGGACTAATTCTCTTTATAATTCCAACATGGAAAAATGCGTTGGAAGTCTTGCAGAGTGAAATCTGAGTGCTCCTCCCATTTGGCACCCCCAAAGAGATTTACTCACGGTTTACTATCCTTTCAGTCAGTCCCCAAGAAATGCCTTATTTCTCTTTTTGTTACAGGACTGAATTTGGGAAATATGCAATATATTGTCAGCGATGTGTAGAGCGTACCCAGCAGAACGGAGACCGAGAAGCTAGACCTTCCAGAATGGAAATACTTTCCACTCTTCTAAGAAACCCCTACCACCATTCACTGCCCTTCAGTATTCCAGTTCATTTCATGAACGGTATATATCAGGTAATGTCAGGTAGACCATGAAATCTAACCTCCCAACCCCTTGCTATTAGCATATACATGAAGTAGCATATCAGAAACAGAATTGTATGTGTTAAGGTAAACATGGTTCAGGTTTCATCCTGTGCCAGCGCTAGCAATGGCAGGCACAAGGTAATTGAATCAGATTTGATCAACGAGGAGTAAAGGTTTGGGGGAAAATCTTTAAAAGAAAGAAAAAAAAATTGAATCCTCTTAAGAGTGAGAAATACTAAAGTTCTGTTTCTTATTTAACCTGACCACCAGATAAATGAATTAGACTGAAGAACAGGGAAAGGTATTAAATTCCACTTCCTTTCATCAGGCATCTTGAAAGTTAAACATCTCAGTGAAGGCCTGGAAGCACAGCTGAAACTCCCATTATCAGTTATGAAGGATAACCGTATTTGTTACAGAACAAACACGGCTTTATTCTTAACTCTTTTGGGACTTAGAATCATAGGATCATTAAGGTTGGAAAAGACTTCATTAGTCAAAGTCTGTAGGAAACTTTCCATGGGCTTCCATGCATACTGATTCAGATCCTAGTCTGTGCTTCTAACCGTGAAAGCTGGCTGAAAAGAGTTTTTTAACAATTCACAGCACTCTAGAGAGAAAGCAAATTTTTTGTATGAAATCAAAACTATATCACATAAACTTTTCGTTTCGGGTCACAGAAGAACTCTGCTTTTTTTCCCCTCTAAGTTTCTTAATTGCTTACTGCTTGCTCAGTAAAACAGAAAAAACAGCTTTTGGAATTTAAGTCATCCTAAAAGGTTTCAAAATTTAAGTTTGAAGGAGAAAAGGAATAACTGCTCATTAGTCACTTGCTGCTCAAAAATGTATGCTTAACGGTTATGACAATTGTAATCAGATAAATAAATTTCAGTAGGATCAGCAAATAACCACTTATAGCGGTCTTGAAAACCCCTGTATTCGTCTCTAAAGCTAGATTCAACAGATTTTTTTTTTTTTAATTCCAACCACTGAGAAGCCCAAAATAGAAGTCCAAGATCCTTTTTCAAGATATTTCTTTACGAAAAAGAGGTAAGGAGCCTTCTTCAACATATCAAATACAGGAAATGCTCTCAAAGCAGATGTAATTGAACATCAGCAACTAGTATCTGTATAAAAGCCATTTGCCATCTCTTGCTAAAATGCTTTAATACTATTAACAACAGACAAAAATTCAGGTTTGGGAAACTAAAACGTAGAAGGGTCTCTATATTATTGGCCTATGTAGTACTGACAGAGCAACATTTGTAAAATATTTTAGACCTGACAATGTAGATCTGTGAGTAAATACCCCTCTGAAGTTGGACATGATGAAGAATGATTAATTGATCTCATTTGTTTCACCACTGTATTGGAAAGTGTAGCAAATTATAGTTTTCCAGATTTTTCAAGTGATATTTATATTTATATTTATATCACATAAAGCTCACATAATAGACTGCTTTCTGTTATATGAATTCTGTAACAGAAAAGTGTTACAGGTGTAGCAAGTGCAAATACACTAGCATAAACAAAGAAAAGCAAAAATATTACATTTGGAATCTTTTTGATAGTGAGTTGGGTTTCATAAACAAAATGCAGTAACATATTATCTGCTGGGAATTTCATTGGTTTTTGAATGGAGAACAACTCCACTAAATTGACTTCCCATGTGGAGATCTTGAATCTTTTCCAAACCCTTTATGGAATTTTTTTAATTTTCAGTCACAATAGGTTATTCATAGGGGATGGAATGTGTCTTACATTGCCACTGTTATTCTAGAGGCATTATCCTTCAATATCTTAGATTTTGGGCATGGGAATGGGATTTTTTTAGTAAGTTTGATAGTAAAATACGTTTTGGCTGCTTTTTTAGGTTGTTGGGTTTGATGCCTCTACCACAGTGGAGGAATTTCTGAACACCCTGAACCAGGATACAGGAATGAGGAAACCAGCTCAGTCAGGATTTGCACTGTTTTCTGATGATCCCTCTGGCAAGGATATAGAGCACTGTCTTCAAGGAAACATCAAGGTAAACAAAAATCTTTAATGAGCTCTGCATATAAAACAACAAAGTATCTTCATTTTACAGAGCTCTCTTCAGACAATGTAAAGGAAAACAATTTTCAGGCTGAAAACTGTCTTTAGGTTTTCTCTTCATAATGCAAAAGATTTTTAAAAAAAGGAATGTTTTCAATTGCTAAAATTCATTCAGTGAACTGTATTTAAAAGCTTTGTCTAGGAGACTGATATTCCTAAGAAATAGCAGCTGGGTTAAAAAAGAAAAAGTAAGCTGTTACTAATCACAGTCCTTTAAAACTAAAAAGCAATTGGAGTCCAAGATGCATTCAGAGATTTCAGTTAACATTTCTTTTACAGCTCCAAAAGATGACCATTTGAGGTCCAAAGAAAAGAAAGGGTTCCTTATCTAAATACAGAATAATTAGGGTTCAATTCAGGAAATTTTCAATGTTTGGCTTATCATTGTTCCGAATTCTGAATTTTAGTTCCCTCTGTTGCTAGAATTAAATTCTTTGCAGATTGTCAAAATGCAATATAATCAGTGCTTTAATAAACTATTAGATACTTTTCAAGCTGTTTAGCAACTGCTGTATAATGAATTTTTTTGTGCTTCTATCAAGTAATTCTTTTGCACCCTTCGGCCAATGTTCACAGCTGCACTTTGAGTTACAAGGTGCGGTATGACCAGGCCTTAGTGACAAACAAAGCAGGGTCATCATCCCCTACTAGAATAATTACCATATGGAAAGCAAAATATATTAAAAATGTACTTTTTCTTGGTAAATGCAACTTCAGAAGCTGGTCACATTACTGCTTTCAGGAAGGCTTTTTCACGAAGGAAGGGTGACATGAAGCCCAGCAGGGCTCCCAGGACCTCCATTCCACCTCCTCCCCATCTGCCTACCTACCACCTACACTGCTTGTTGTGAACCACTCTTGCTGCACTTCATAACAAACTTCATACAAACTTTATAGCAGTTACTAGAAAGAACCTGAAAAAGTCCAGCAATGCAGCAGAAAGAGAAGGCTGAAATCAAAGGCATATGATTAATTATATAACAACTCACTCTGGATAATTACACATTCATTGGCTAAAGCAAGTACTTGGCCTTTCCATATAAGCGTGTTATGGCTCATTTCCAAAAGTAGTGTGTGTGTTGCAGGATAAACAAACAACAAAAATGTTAATTATTAAATGCTCCAACTAAGAAATGCATGTTATTTCTCAGTAAGTTTAAAAATTCAAGGTATATATGTTTCTGATATGTATTAGGTAAAAGGAATTTTAAAAAGTAGACAATTTCCATTCAAAGGTGTTTTCAAAGGGGAATACGTGGCAAAGTTATTTTTGTATTGCTTTCCTTCTAGATCTGTGACATTATTTCAAAATGGGAGCAAGCCTCCAAAGAACAACACCCTGGGAAATGTGAAGGCACAAGGACTGTCCGCCTTACTTACAAAAATAGGTTTGTATAGCAAGTATTACATCTCTGCCTTGTCCTGAGATTTGTTTTTAATTTCTGCAGACTTTCTTCATCTGAAAAATATTGGCCGACTCAAAGCTTGCAATAAAAATAGCAAAATGGGTGTAACTGGAGAATTCTTTTTAAAAACCTATAGTTTATTTTTTCTACTTCTTAAGAGGTGAGCAGGTCTGCCAAAATAAAAAAGGCACCACTGAACTCAGAAGACTGAAACTAAATATTTGCCCACTGCTTCAAGCACAAGTGTTGCTCTGCTGATGTGTTTTGACGCTGGCGTAAACATGTCACATTCAGAGCAGATACTGTTAATCCTCAAGGCTAATGCATTTCCCTATCTTCTTTATTTAATAACTTTCTGTCTTTTCTGTAGGCTTTATTTTTCGGTTCAAGTCCATGGGGAGACAGAGAGAGAGAAGCTGCTGCTAGTATATCAGACAAATGATCAAATAGTCAATGGACTTTTCCCCGTGAACAAAGAACTAGCGATGGAATTGACAGCTCTTTTAGCTCAGGTAATCCTTGTGCATTAATGACTCACACAGCAGTTTTACAGATGAAAAACTTAAATTAAGAAACTGCTCCAGGATTGCTTGACAGTCAAGTGACCTCCACCTTTTTACATGTAGTAGTGCAGGCAATAGGCTGGGCAGGAATCTTTGTGTAAGGCTAACTCTGTCCTTCAGCAGAAATGCTTTACAGTGTATGTGGCTGCTGGCACCAGTACGGATAAAACATGCTTTACCACACACAGGCAGGCCCTCTTTGATTAAATATAATGTAATCATGTACCATCTCTTCATTCACTATTCCTTACATGATTTCTGCAAGTTAATACACCAAAGTAACAGCTGTTTAATGAAAGCCTAAGACTCCTTTACTAGACATGGTCTTGATCAGATCTGTTTGATTTTTAAAAAATTAAAGGCTCAAGGGAAGGTTATGGAGAAAATTATTTGATGGTGTTACTCAGTAAATCTAAACTGGTTTGTGTCAGCTAGAGATCTAGCAATCTCAGAGCAGAACTAAGTATTCTATTTGTAATAGTTATACTTGATATTTATCTTTTTTCCACAGTAAATGTAAAATAAGAAAATTACTTGCAGGACTTTTGTATCAATGAAAAATACACATTAATTGGCAAACTGTTCTTCATTCTATGCTTGGTAAGACAGAGGAAAAGATAGCTCGTAATACTCAGCTAGAAAATTACTCTGCAGTAACAAAAAATTTTCTTGTCTGCGGTCTTTCCCGTAGGTGGAGATTGGAGATTTTGAACGGCCTTTCTCAACTCCAGCAGGGCAAGTCACTTCCCAGTCCAAGTCCAATCAAACATTAAAACAAGTTTTGGAGAGATTCTACCCTAAGAGATACAGACATGGTTGTTCAGAGGAACAGTTAAGGTGAGATGTATTTTGCAATTCATGCTCTCTAAAAGTCTAGGAGCGAAATGAGGATGTTTTAAATTGTCATTAGGTACAACGTGCCATAGTTGCCTAGACTTGGGTTTGAAACTCGTTTTCTTACTAAACTGAAGAACCCATTTCCTCTGTATATTTCTAATCTAAACAGAGGACCATCGTTAAGCACACATCCCAGCAAAAACCGTACAGGTGCCTACACAGTGTTACAAAACACAGAGATTTTGAAATTCTTATTTTTCTTACTCAGCAAATCTAAATTAAATTTTTGCACAAACTACTGAAAGTAAAGGACACAAGGATCTGATCCATTAGCTATTCAAACGTGAATAGTCAGCCAGTCAAATTGGCAATATGTTCACTTAGTGGACTTGCTACTAAAAGCAAAGCACTTAATTTAAAATTAATAATCTGCGAGTCATTTCAGTCAACACCTATGAAAATAAAGAGGAGCAGAACAGTGTAATAAATTATCCAAAGTCAATGGTATAGCAGTTTTGAAGTCCAGTAAACATTATAGAAATGTTTTCTCATTCTTCACTACAGGGTTGAGAAAGTTTAAAGCTATTATCATTTGCACGGAGTAACATGAGTACATACTCAATAGATAACAGGGACATGGAAAAGTATTCACACAACAAATAGAAAGCTATGCAATTAATTTCAAAGAACAAAGTATAAGAGGTCCTACATTAGATGAACTCATGGAGGATAAGTCAAACATTTGTTAACTGTTCAAGTAGTCCCTAAACTACCAATTGCCAGAGCTGGAAGTCTGTGGCAGGGAAAGAATCAATCACTCTATACAACCTGTTTCTTGTATTCTTTTGCTAAGTGTGCAGTTCGACTTCATAAACTTCCAGGAAGAGTAAGGTGCAAGTGAAAGATCTCCCTTTGCTACACATTCCCCCTCCCTTTTCTTGGGCCACAGCTAGTAATCTTGTGGCTGCCAGGTGAGTCATTCCTGCAAGTCAATGTGCTAGAAAGGTATTCTGGGGCTTTTTCTTTTGGAGGATTAGTTTTCCATAGGATCATTTTATTGAACCAACTCACCATGGGGCCACAGAAGAAAAGAGCCAGTGTGAACACAATCATGCATCAGAAGCACCCTTATTGGTAGCCGCACCCAGGTACACTAAAAAAGAGTAGCGTTAAGCTTTATCTTCTACATCTGCTACTAGCCATAGGTGAAGATATGTGCTAAGCTGGATGGATTTTTGGAATGACAACTGGCATAGCTGTTGAGTACTGATAAATGTAGATTGATCACCTGTAGGGACACACTAAAAGCTGTACTAGACTTTTTCCCTTTACGCTACAACTGCTACATCAATACTTAATCATAATGTTGCCAAAACCAGAAGATAATTCATAATTTTCATGTGCATAAAAATATTAAATGACGCTTGGATTTATTTAATACTGTATAAGTGATAGGTGTTGTATTAACTTAAATTATCATTTTAACAAATGGATTTTTTTTTGCTCATTAAACTTTCTATGGGTAAGCATTTAAATTCCTTTCAATAACTAAATTACATATTTCATTTCAACAGACAGCTTTGTCAGCGATTGTCTACAAGATGGATGGCTCTCCGGGGGCACAGTGCTGCAGACTGTGTGCGCATTTATCTCACTGTAGCCAGAAAATGGTCTTTCTTTGGTGCTAAATTGTTTGCAGCAAAAGTAAGAAACTTAGTACTGGGTTTGAGTGGAGAGGGTTTTTTAATATAAATATAATTTGCAAATAGTAATACTTTTTTGTTAAAAATGAGTGTGTTATACATGTGCTGATTGAATCTCTTGTCAAATTACTAACTTAAGCCATATACTGGTAAAATCTAATAGCCATAGTACTAAGTATACCATAACAGTAACTTTACAGTATACTTATTGCTTGTTTTACGTTATTAATTTAGGTGGTATCTTTTCATTTTATTCTATCTTAGTTTGAGATAGCCTTTTTGTTTCAGACTTTTTTCACCTGATAACTAGTAGAATATTGAAAAGGTATCATTAACTGGCTATGGAAGCTGAACCTTGCAGAAGAACTATATGTTGTTAAGGGTATTTAGAGCACTCCCTTCTGTGCTGGCCTCTCCCAATTTCTCTTAACCCACTAGTTAAATGTCTTTATTTCAAATAACTATGTTAAACAGAACTGTCACCTCACCCCTTAAATTTTATTAGGTAATCCAAATATATATAATTCCTTATCAGCACTCTGTTCATGGCATAGGTAGACATATGTGCTAGTGAACAAACTTCAGAACACCTGACTTTTTTATTTATTTTATTAATGAGAGTATACATTTTATGGGACTAAGCACCGGGAGAGGCTTCAAGAGTATCAGGTTGAGTTCACAGTTCTGCCACTGGCTGCCCACATGGCTTTGGGCAGCTATTTCAATTCCTTTACATCAGTTCTCTCCCAGTGTAAATCTCAGTAAGATCTGTGGATGGAGAGAGCGCTACAACAGCTGAGACTTAACAATTATTTACATGTTGCCTCATTTTAAATAATAATTAAAATAACATTTCTCTTTGTAGCCTCTAGCAACATCCTCAGTTGAGAAATCCTTCATATGGTTTGCTGTACATGAAGATGGCATAAGCATCCTAGATTACAGCTCTATGGTAAGTGGAATTTCTTTTTTAATTTTGATCAAAGTAGATTTTAATACTTAGTATATGGAGAAATTCACCACCATGCTACATAAAAGATGGCGTTAGCCTTCCATGCTAAGTTATCTAGTCTTTCTCTTAAAGCAAAAATTCATTCCTTTCAAAACGCCTTAATGTTATCATCATTATAGTAACACTAATAATAGAAATAAGTAATGAATTCTTGGCACAGAATTTATTTTTGTTTATCAGATACAGTTTTTATATCTTTTAATGAAATGTTAATGTTTTAATCATTCAGATGTCAGGAGATCCATAGTTACAGTTCTTACAATAACATTAATTTTCTTTTCCTTGAGACTTCATTTTCCATTATTATTCATAATACATACACTCTGCAAAGAGCAGTTACTTTAAAAGATTGTTATTTTCATTGTATTATTTTTGTTTAATAGTAGGTAATATAACCCAGTGTTATTTAATTATGTCATTTTAGGCTCTGATTTTTCTTTGATTTACAATAAAAGTTTTCACAGAAGACGACTCATGGTAATCAGTGTAAAAAAGCAGTGCCTGAGAAGATCCCTGCTTTAATTTATATCCTGCAAAGAAACAAAATGGCATGGTGCTATTAGCAAGTGCTAATATTGACTATCAGAAAATTAAAATCTCAACTTTATAATTGTACTGATATGGGCCTTTTCATTACATTTCTGTGCAAAACAAAGAACATGAGGAGAGCAAACAGCAGCTCTGTTCAGAGAACAAGCAAAATGAGCTTGCATCAGCCTGCAGAAACCTCTATAAACACTATCTACTCATAGAGCTAGCTATGGCATTTCTGCAGAGCGCTGCGAGTTTACAGTATCAGCAGGCCTTACTCGCCATTCCAGAAATGCTCAGTTTGCAGGGAATATTCTGATTTTCTGTAGGAAGGATCAAGGGTATCAGAAATGATGTTGCAAGGGGTAATTAGAGAAAACACTACTTCAAAATGAGGGCAAAAAGAGGTTTAGTAACCGAAGGACGCCAAGTCAGTTACTGCACAGATATTGTCTTACGATGAATTTTAAATGTGAAGATCTGCAGCAAATTAATATCAGTTGTAATGATAAATTAAAAGCTAATCATAGACTCAAAGGCCACTAGTGTGGTGTTGAACATTGAACAGTAAGAGCCAAGGCATGGAAAGCAAAGGAGCCTTGAACAGTGTTTATGTTTCATCAGAGACGTGAAAAAAAAGAGAACAGAATTTAATTTCATTTGTGTGTATGTAAACTATATCACTGCACAAAAAGAAGTCCGGAGTTAAATCCCTTTAAATGTCTTATACACTGCCATTTAATTTATTTAGACCCTGCTTCGATTTCAAATGGAATTCCTGAGATTAACTTCTCTCAAAGTCAGTCAAGACTTGTGTAAATTGAATTACACACTTGAATTGAAATCTTCTTATAATATCTTCATTCTAATTAATTTGGAACAAAAACAGAGGTCAAACTTATAAGAGTTATCATCTGCAATGGAAATTCCTCATAGTGAAGATCTGAATGAAGCTATCCCAAAATTCACAATTAATTTCGAGATTCATAAAGGGCTGACACCACCATTTTGAAAAATGCCCGTGTAATTATATTTTTAAAAGAAGTATTTGTTATCATCTGTTTTTCCTGCATTGTCCTGCTTATCGCTTTGCATTTTGTTTTTTGGGTTTTCTTTTTTAAGCGATTAACAGTTACGTATACATATAAGAGTCTGATGACTTTCGGAGGCTATCAAGATGATTTTATGTTGGTTGTTAACAATGCTCAGACAAAGGACAAATCAGCTGAAAAACACCTTTTTGCCATGACAAAACCAAAGGTTGGTATATTACCTGAAATAGTTTCCCACCATCTGCTACTTTTCTACTTTTTCTAGTGGGTAATCCTTAACAGATGTGAAAGATGAAACACCCTCTTTATTCCTGGCATTCTCAGGTTATTGACTTTTGCCAGATGGTTTGAGAGCATGAAGCAATTAGTAATACAAGAGCTAACAGTGACAATACCGATGTGTTCCTTTTCTCTTCATGTCCCTGTCTATAACATTCCAAATTTTTCATGGAAGGACAAAGGCGGCTATTAGGGACAGGAAGTATATGCAGTACCTAAAAACTAGTCTGTTTGCTTGATCAGCACCAGAGATAACTGTAAAGAACATGCATTTGTGTTCTACAGTGGAATTGTCACTTCTTAAAATCCCTACGATATTTTTACCTTTGGTAAAGAAACTGTTCGTGCTTTTTAAATCTAGATTCTCTCCTTCATTGGTAAGATTGAGTACAATTCTTAAGAAGTGATGATACTGAAATCTTTTGCTGTTGTTAGTCAGAACAATTTATGAAACAGAATACAAAATTCCAGATATAAACTTGGGTCAAAACACGAAGCAAAACAAGCGTCATAAAAATAAGCTTCACACAAATAAGCATTGTAAAATACATCTGTTCAAGTTTCCCTCAGACTGTGTCCTTACAGGCAAGGGTGTGAGGACTGCAAAGAGAAAATATGGCAAAAAGCTCCCAGAAGTCTTCATTTCTTTTATCTATGCTGTTAGTTATCTTTAGTTCTCCGAGTGCTAGATATTTTCTAGCAAAATTGAGGGAACACATTATGAAAGCTTTTTTTAAGAGCATCACCTTTTGGACTTCAAGATTTCTCTCAAAGTGAAAGAAACCATCTGTTTGAATCATTTCATACTGTGGAAGATAAATTATCCAGCATGCCGATGGGAATAACATTACATTATTTGCAAGGAGCAATAGAAAAAAGGTCTATTAGGCATCTCCTCTCTCTCTATCATTAATTTGTTTGATAAAGTACAAGTACTTTTCCAGCTGATGATGATTGTCACTTGGTAAAAAGTTAGCTGTTTTTTTAGCAGTCAAAACACATCACTGTATTTTTCAAAGAGTTTTCTATGTTCCTGTTATAGATTCTTGAGATCACTCTACTGATTGCCAGCTATATTAACAACTTTCATCAGCTGAAAGGAGCTGCTCATCACCTCTCTGCCCCAGCGTTACTAGCACCTCAAAGTGGACAGAAACTCAAGGAATCGGGGAGTCAGCCACTTCTTGCAAACAACAGACCAACTAAATGTCCCACTTTGTTATGAAAGGATTATGTATCGTGATAATCCATCTTTGTTACAGGGTTTCTACACTGATTGAAAACTTTTTGATGTACAAGACAGGAAGCATAAGCAGGTCCATAAACAAAAGAAAGGCAGACAGGTTTACATTGATTTCAATGGTCTATAACGGGAGGAGTGTTTAATTAAAGCCCTGGCCTGAACTGGAATGATGATGAGTCAATTTAAGGATTATGCTTCACTGGAGGTGGCTTGTACCTGCAGCTCAGAAATAAACATATCTGTTAATAGTGATGGGGAACGGTGGCCTTGGGAACAACTGCATAGATTTTAGTAGTTTTCCAGATATTTACTCAGGGACCAAACAGTCTTCAACTCTAACTTTTCATCTCTATTTTGCAAAGTTATACAAGTTGTATAATCTTCATTTTGAAAAGGAATTTTTGTTTAAAAAAAAAGTCAAACAGTATATTTTCCACTTCCAGCACCCCTCCTTATTTGCAGTACAACCACCATGGGACTAAAACCAAGAAATTGCTTGAGCTGTATAATTGTTTCTCCTTTAAAAAAAAAACATAAGCACATCATGTAACTATTATAAATTTAAAGAGTATTCTCATGATACATTCTAGCCTTTGTTATACAGCTATTTTACTTGGCAAATCTTCAGCCTTGGTCTGGTAAATTTCTAAGTAATCCATCTCTGCCCCAGCCTTTTGGAAAAAATCTTAATTGCACAGGCACTGTATTTAGTATATTTTTGTTAAACAAGATCCCGTGCCTAATTTTTTTTTAATTCAGAATAATAATATAATACAGATGCAAGAATGACTCACAATTCAAAACACAAGAACACAGAAAGCCATTGCTTGAACTATTATGAGCAAACCTGGAGACATATGTGACATAAAAAATCCATGTATAATGTGTATAATGTATATACATTGATTCAGAATAATATTTGGTAAACATTATACTTCTTGTTTTTCATTTGTATCTATACATTTCATATTATAATACTAATATAATGTTCTTGGACACTGAAGACATAATGCTGCATCTGCACTATGGGACCTAGGACCACTTTCCAGTTGCCTCTTTCAGCTGCAAGCCTCAGTGCTATATAGGGTCAAGTACATAGAAATTACACCCATTTTTTCTTCCAATCCTCACATTTTCGTTTCTGTACAACAAAACCACTTCTGTAGGCTCTAAGATGGATCAGCAGCATACTCTAATAGATAATTATGTCCAACCATAGAGAAGGTAGTCAAACATAAATGACTCATTTATGTATCTTTCACAGTTTCCACTTTTGCTCATGCTAATGATCATGGATCATTAATCCCTTACTGCTAGCCCTCATAGTCTTGGGGTTTTTTTTTTTCATTACTTAAAAATGAAGTAATTTCATAATGATGAATTTTAGTATTTGAAGGTTGAAAATCTCCTTTGTTTTATGACATTTAAACATTTCAGATACATACATACTCCTATTGGGAGAAAAGGAATTTTCAGCTGTTTGCCTTCTGTTAAAGGTAGGATCTATCCTCCTGAAGAATTAAAATGAAAAGGAATTTTCAGCTGTTTGCCTTCTGTTACAGGTAGGATCTATCCTCCTGAAGAATTAACATAGATTGGAAGGGAGATACAGGTGTGAAAATAACATGCTCTTAAAAAGTGGAAAGACAAATTGGCAAGCTGACTTGATAAATACATTTCTTCTGAAAGCTCTCAAAGTCCTGCCACAGCTACTTCAGTCTGCAGGACTCAAGCACCATTTTATCAATGGTTCTATGCATCAGTGCTTTGTCATGAAAATTACAAGCAAATAAAAACTACACTATAACTAGATGCTTTCACATGTGCAGTGCAGTAAGAATCTCCTGGTAACTTTTATCCTTTGGTGGTGGTTGTGGCACTAGATCCTTCTCTTTGAATGAGGCAGAGTCAGCAGCAGGAGATTTACCTCCTAGTGGGTGGCTGATCTGCCATCATCAAGGAAAGCAGACTGGAAGCTACCAAAGACCCTGGCATCAACTGCAGCATCTTTTTGTGCATCACCCCATGTGAAGTGATGCAGATAGCATGGTGTAATTGGGTTAGGAATTAACATCCCTTTCTGATCAGCAGAATAGTGAACTTTCAGAGATTTGAGTGTTTGCAGGGTGTTTGCAAATTTAAACATGCTACTCCATCAGTTATACCTGGGTTGTAGTCTAAAGCTTCTCAAATATCATGATTAAAAACTGTATTTTACAAATACAAAAATCTTCATGTCATCATGAAATTACGATAACCATCAACCTAGAATATTCCAACTACTAATTCTTTCCTAACTGTCCAGTTTTAAATGAATGTGGCAGGTTCTATTAGAAGGCAAAAAAAGTGTTGCATGTTGCTAGTGACCTTGTTTATGTGGTTTTTACAATCTTTGTTAAATTTGGAGGCACGATACACAATGCAAACAATCTATGTGCAAATTTTTAGTCTTTTAAACAGTTTTCATTAATGCTTAACAACCTTACAAACAGCTGTGTCATAAAGTACTACGCAGTCTGTGGAGTAGAGTATGACCTTCCTGTCTGCCTTTGGGTAGGTAACTCTAGACATTGCTTTGCTTTTTAATGTTAAGCTCTTGCTGCTGCAGTATATCCCTACATCATAGTGCCAGAAGCAATTCGTATCTTAGATTCCCTTTTCTTGGCAGCACTTTTCCAGACTTGCTACCACTAAAACAGCTGTGTCATAAAGTACTACGCAGTCTGTGGAGTAGAGTATGACCTTCCTGTCTGCCTTTGGGTAGGTAACTCTAGACATTGCTTTGCTTTTTAATGTTAAGCTCTTGCTGCTGCAGTATATCCCTACATCATAGTGCCAGAAGCAATTCGTTATCTTAGATTCCCTTTTCTTGTCAGCACTTTTCCAGACTTACTACCACTAACTGCTCATTTTAGGTCACCATTAATCTCATATAGTCACATTACCAGAAATGCACTCAGAATCACAGTTCCAGTGCCAACACTACCCTAAACAATGAAGTTTCTTCCAGGATTTTGATTAGCAAGAGTGAGGTTCCTGTAGTATGATAGTAACCTCTTCAAGCAGACACTTCCCTTCAAGTTAACAGTCAGCAAGTAAAGTCAACACATGCAAACAGACTTCAACAGCTCGGCTTGCAAACACAGCTGTGCAAGTCTCAGGGGCACTTGCTCCGTGTTAATCTAGCTCCAGAGCTACTTTGAAGATACCACACAACATAAGACAGCAAAGTCAGCGTCCAAGCAAGGAATCTGTTCTGCCTTCCCCACCCAGCCAGAGCCTCATGAGTGATCCACACCTCAGCCTTAACCTTGAGTCATTCACCGAAACAACTGATACTGTGCTACCTCATCCATTACTAGAGCCCAGGTAGAAACTAGACCTTTCTCACCTTCTAATCTTCAGCAGCGATGATACGATGGGAGCTGCCAAATGTGCAGTGACTTCTGGGACTGATGCTGAAGAACTTCCCGTGCTCAAGACTTGCAGAACCTAGGTTATAAAAATATTCTCGGGATGAGATTAATGTGTTAGCACATACAAGGAAACTCTACCTTCTATCACCAACTTCAGAACATCTTTTGTGCTTGCTTTCAGCTAGCAGTCAGTAACAACAATCGGTATAAATGATCAATGAGTCTGAGCTTGACCGCGACTAAAGATCACTGGTAACTCTCTGTATAAACAATCACATTGATTTGAAAATAGTATTTGGAATGCAATGTAAATATATTACTTGAATTTCACTTTGCCGTGTCAATTTTTGTACAGCAGTATTAGTAAGCAAACTGCTCATTTCTAAAATAAGCAAAACCTATTTACTCCTGTAGTACCGCAGGCAAATGACAAACCTTTGAGTTTTTAATACAATCCACAAAATTAGGGTTTTTCTGTTACTTTAAATTTGGTTTATATTTAAAATAAGAGGCAAATATTTCCCTATAAAAGAAGGCTGGTAGGTATTTGGTGTTGGAGTTCCTTGTCAGACTAACACAGTTTTTATAGGTCAGGACCTGAAGGAAAAAATTCATCCTTGCATGAAGGAATGCACCGCTTAAAAGCTTTAGGTAGAGCTTTAATAGTCCATACAGCTTAGTGCAATCCATTAGTTCGAGTTAATTTTAACTAAGGTAGTTAGTAACTCAGTAATAATTAATTAGGAAGAAAAAAAAATTATTTTACTGTTCCTTACAGCATGAGCAGCAAAGGAAATGAAACTTAAAATACTAAAAACTCCAATTTCATTTCTAGATTGGATTTAATTGTATACCCTCACAGCTCAGATTTGTACTGCTGCATCTTCCAGATTTGCCACCTCTCTGCCATTGAGTAAATGACTGTAAAAATACTTTACTTTTTACTGTTACACTCATGCTGCTGCAGTAATACATGCCTAGATCACAGTGCCCAGAACAACTCCTACCTTAGTTCTGCTTCCTTTGGGAGAGCAATAGCAGCTTTGTCCAGGGTTTTCACCACCTCTGACGATTACAGATCAGCACTGGCTTCATATACCAAGATAGCAGAAACGTTCTGTTGACATGAAATTAGTAAAAGAAATGCACTTAGAAAGGCATCAGCATGACTTGCCACAGTACAACACTAAACAATGAAGTTTCTTTCTCAATTTTAACTCCTAAGACCATGGTTTCTATAGGGAGTTTGCAAATGCTTTAGAAGAGCCATGTGAAAACCTAGAAGTAAAGAAAGATGGGAAAATAATATCATGAAGGCTTCTGGAACTAAAACTGAGTGATTATGCAAGTGAAAGTTAGAAAAAATTCTTATTTAAAGCACAAGTATTACTTAGGGTCTGCAGAAGGCTACATAGACCTTCTTTGGGGAACCAAGAACATTAATTGTGAGTTAATCATTATAAATGAGGCCATTTTCCTGGTTTTGATCAAACAGGTAAGAGAGGATTTTACTTAGGTTTTTCTATCTCTAGTCTCTCAAGACACAAAGCAGCCACTCAGCTACACAAGGTCAGCTGTAATTGCTGTCCTGGATTTTGTGTCACTTCCTCAACATAGGACACTTTTGACTTGTCGGGTTTTCACCTGCATCCTATATCCTCAGTTTTACTGCACCCTTTAAATCCTACTTTCT